GCCACATTTTCTTTATGCAGTCTGTCATTGATGGGCATGTGGGTTGGTTCCAGGTCTTTGCTATTATCAACAGTGCTGCAATGAGCATATGTGTGTGTGTATCTTTAGAGTAGAATGATTTATAATCCTTTGGATATATACCCAGTAATGCGATTGATAGGTCAAATGGTATTTCTGGTTCTAGATCCTTGAGGAATCACCACACTGTCTTCCACAATGGTTGAACTAATTTACACTCCCACCAACAGTGTAAAAGTGTTCCTATTTCTCCGCATCCTCTCCAGCATCTGTTGTTTCCTGACTTTAAGATTGCCATTCTAACTGATGTGAGATGTTATCTCAATGTGATTTTGATTTGCATTTCTCTAATGACCAGTGATGAGCTTTTTTTCATAGTTTGTTGGCCACATAAATGTCTTCTTTTCAAAAGTGTATGTTCATATTCTTCACCCACTTTTTGATGGGGTTGTTTGTTTCTTGTAAATTTGTTTAAGCTTTTTGTAGATTCTGGATATTATCCCTTTGTCAGATGGATAGATTGCAAAAATGTTCTCCCATTCTGTAGGTTGCCTGTTCACTCTGTTGATAGTTTCTTTTGCTGTGCAGAAGCTCTTTAATTAGATTGCATTTGTCTGTTTTGGCTTTTGTTTGCCATTGCTTTTGGTGTTTTAGTCATGAAGCCTTTGCCCATGCCTGTGACCTGAATGGTATTGCCTAGGTTTTCTTTTAGGGTTTTTGTGGTTTTGGGTCTTATATTTAAATCTTTAATCTATATTGAGTTAATTTTTGTATGAAGTGTAAGGAAGTGGTCCAGTTTCTATTTTCTGCATATAGCTAGCCAGTTTTCCCAACACTGCTTATTAAATAGGGAATCCTTTTCCCATTGCTTGTTTTTATCAGGTTTGTCAAGGATCAGATACTTGTAGGTGTGTAGTGTTATTTCTGAGGCCTCTGGTCTATTCCATCTGTCAATATATCTGTTTTGATACCAGTACCCTGTTGTTTTGGTTACTGTGGCCTTGTAGTATAGTTTGAAGTCAGGTAGCATGATGCCTCTAGCTTTGTTCTTTTGCTTAGGATTGTCTTGGCTATACTGTCTATGTACACTTTTGGTTTCATATTAAAGTAGTTTTTTCTAGTTCTGGGGAGAAAGTCAGTGGTAGCCTGGTGGGAATAGCACTGAATCTATAAATTACTTTGGACAATATGGCCATTTTACAATATTGCTTCTTCCTATTCATTAATATGGAATGTTTTTCCTTTTTTTTGTGATTTCTCTTATTTCCTTTAACAGTGGTATGTGATTCTCCTTGAAGAGGTCCTTGTCATCCCTTGTAAGTTGTATTCCTAGGTATTTTACTTTTTTTGTAGCTATTGTGAATGGGAGTTCACTCATGATTTGGCTCTCTGTTTTTTTATTATTGGTGTATAGGAATGATTGTGATTTTTGCACATCGATTTTGTATCCTGAGACTTTGCCATGCAGAAGGAGTTTGGGGGCTGAGACAATGGGGTTTTCTAAATATGCAATCATGTCATCTGCAAACAGAGATAATTTGACTTCTTCTCTTCCTATTTGAACACCCTTTACTTCCTTGTCTTGCCTGATTACCCTAGCCAGAACTTCCAATACTGTGTGGTGAAGAGGAGTGGTAAGAGAGGGCAACCTTGTCTTGTGCCAGTTTTCAAAGAGAATGCTTCCAGCTTTTGCTCTTTCAGTATGATATTGGCTGTGGGTTTGTCATAAATAGCTCTTATTATTTTGAGATATAATCCATTAATATCTTGTTTATTGAGTGTTTTTAGCATGAAGGGGTGTTGAATTTTATCAAAGGCCTTTTCTGCATCCATTGAAATAATGATGTGGTTTTTGTCATTGATTCTGTTTATGTGATGGATTACATTTATTGATTTGTGTATGTTGAACCAGCCTTGCATCCCAGGGATGAAGCCAACTTGACCGTGGTGGATAAGCTTTTTAATGTGCTGCTGGATTTGGTTTGCAAATATTTTATTGAGGATTTTTGCATCAATGTTCATCAGGGATATTGGCTGAAATTTTCTTTTTTTGTTGTGTCTCTGCCAGGTTTTGGTATCAGGATGATGCTGGCCTTATAAAATGAGTTAGGGAGGAGTCCCTCTTTTTCTATTGTATAGAATAGTTTTAGAAGGAGTGGTACCAGCTCCTTTCTGTACCTCTGGTAGAATTAAGTGGTGAATCCATCTGGTACTGGGCTTTATTTGGTTGGTAGGCTATTAATTACTGCCTCAATTTTAGAAGTTGTTATTGATCTATTCAGGGATTCAATTTCTCCCTGATTTAGTCTTGGGATAGTGTATGTGTTCAGGAATTTATCCATTTCTTCTAAATTTTTTAGTTTATTTGTGTAGAGTTGTTTATAGTATTCTCTGATGGTAGTTTGTATTTCTGTGAGATCAGTGCTAATATTGCCTTTATCATTTTTATTATATCTGTTTGATACTTCTCTGTTTTCTTTTTTATTAGTCTGGCTATGTATTTTGCTAATCTTTCCAAAAAACCAGTTCCTTTTTTTTTGAAGGGTTTTTCATATTGCTCTCTTCTTTGGTTCTGCTCTGATCTTAGTTATTTTTTGTCTTCTGCTAGCTTTTGAATTTTTTTGTTCTTCCTTCTCTAGTTCTTCTGATTGTGATGTTAGGGTATCGACTTTAGATCTTTCCTGCTTTCTCCTGTGGGCATTTAATGCTATAAATTTCCCTCTAAACACTGCTTTATCTATGTCCAAGAGATTCTGGTATGTTGTCTTTGTTCTCATTGGTTTCAAAGAACTTTTTGATTTCTGCCTTAATTTTGTTATTCAGTAGTCATTCAGGAGCAGATCGTTCAGTTTCCATGTAATTGTACGGTTTTGACTGAATTTCTTATCCTGAGTTCTAATTTGATTGCACTGTGGTCTGAGAGACTATTTTGTTAAATTGACTGGTGGGATGCTTCAGATTGTCTCCTTAATACCATGAAGCTAGTGATCTTTAAATTAGACATATTGTGATTAGTGGTACATGAGGCAAACCAAGCTTGTCCCTGCACCTGTGTCACAAATGTTGAGTCTTGTGGTGTAATGGAAATGTTAGTTCCCATTAGGAAAATATATGAATGGGTAGTGCAAATTAGGCACTGATCAGTGTAATTATGAATAAAGGTTATAATATAGTTGTGACTGGAATTATGATATGTCCCATACCAGGTGTAAAGGGAGGTGCTGAGATGTCCTACATGTCATAAGGTGCCTTGGGGTGGCATGGACTTTACTCAGCGTCTAGGATATCCTAGCCCTTCATCTGCCCAAATTATAGGAGAATGAGATGTAGCTATGAAACTGTGATTAATGCTATGATGGATGAAAATATTAGTAAGGCTGCTTTGCAATCTGCCATGGGGCCCCAGTCTAAGATTTTATAATTGCCTAACTCAAGGCTACAGGTGTGTTTACTGTGACAGACCTCCCAGTTAAAGTGAAATCCATTACTTTCCTGGGAATGTTTGGAAAAGTGGTACAGATTATATTGCCTGGTTTGAGGCTACCTGCCACTAAAAATATTAAGGTATCACCTTTGCCATGATGTAGCCATACTTGTTTTTGGGCCAGTCCACAGGAAAGTCTAGGACTTTTATAACTTACACACAGTGGGAGGATAGTGGAGTGATATGTAGTGTTATCTGGCACCTTAGTCCAATGTGTGCCATTATTGAGGGAACCTCACTGCAGGTAAACCTATCCCTTCTAGCCAAGCAGTCACGTTATTATAGTCTGGGAAGGGGGTGTCTGTATATTCTGGTGATCTGAGGTGGAAAGTTCTGTAGATGTCTATTAGGTCTGCTTGGTCCACAGCTGAGTTCAAGGCCTGAATATCCTTGTTAATTTTATCTCTTTGATCTGCTAATATTGACAGTGGGGTGTTAAAGTCTCCCACTATTATTGTATGGGAGTCTAAATCTCTTTGTAGGTCTCTAAGAACTTGATTTTGAATCTGGGTGCTCCTGTATTGGGTGCACATATATTTAGGATAGTCAGCTAGTATAAAATTTTAGCAGCATATATATACTTTTAAAACTAATTAAATCAGCAAGGATTATTAAACATCTTTTTATGGTTGACCAGATGATATCAAGAGAAATCTCAGATTAATCTCTACAATTTATAACTAATTAAATTTACACATTCAACATGCAATAGAGTGGGGTTTTAAAAAATAGATTTAGGGAGACAAGTGCAGTTGTTACATGGATGTATTACATAGTGGTAAATTCTGGGCTTTTGGAATACCCATCACTCAAGTCATATACATTGTACCAAATAGGTGGTATTTCATCCTTCACCCCTCTCCCATCCTCCTACCTTTTGGAATCTCCAGTGTCTATTTTTTCATTCTGTACCTTCATGTACATCCATTGTTTAGCTCCCACTTATATGAGAGAATATGTGGCTTTTGACTTTCTGTCTCTGAGTTATTTCACATAGGATAATGGCCTATAGTTCCATCCATGTTGCTGCAAAAGACATTCTTTCTTTTTTGTGGCTGAGTAGTATTCCATGGCACATATATATATACATACACATATATCACATTTTAAACCAATAGTCTGTTGATTCCATGACTTTGCTATTGTGAAAAGTGCTGAGATAAACATGAGTGCAGGTGTCTTTTTGATAAAATAATTTATTTTCCTTTGGGTAGATGCCAACTAGTGGGCTTTCTGGAATAGACTGTTTTTAAATACCAGGACAAGGCTACAGGATTGAGATCAGAAGAAAAATAACAACAATAATAGTTATTATTATTTATTATTCTTCAATACATAATTAAAAATTCATTAAAAAACACTTAACTGTTATTTTTCCATGGATAATTTTCATTTAACTTTTCTTCCTTTAAATACTTTTTGATGTTTTGATGAGTGGTTCTCTTGCTTCCATACCAAGGCATAATTAACATAAATCAATCTGTATTCTATTTAATAGGGACAAGTGATCCATATGTGAAGTTCAAAATTGGAAGAAAGGAAGTTTTTAGAAGTAAGATAATACACAAGAACCTCAACCCTGTGTGGGAAGAAAAAGCCTGCATTCTGGTTGATCATCTTAGGGAGCCATTGTATATAAAGGTGAGCCATTCGTTTGTTTTTTTCCTGACAGAAACTGATATGGAAATCTCTGTCTATTGGATTTTATAATGTTTCTTTGTCTGATGAGAGTTTTCACCAGAGATGTATTCTGTCTGCTATTCACAACTAATCTATTGATAATATGATAGAAATGAGATAGAGGGAAGGAGGAGCTGGTGGGAGCATTTTTCTCCAGGACAGTTCCCTTGCCAGTCATTTAGAAGGACTATGAAGTATACCCCTCACGCTTGGTACTGCCAACTGATTTAGTGCACTTTGGGAGTATATGAAAACAAGTTTCCATATAAGCTAGCAGAAAGGAGAACTTATACAGAACCCAGTCTTTCTGGCCAACATAGTGAAACCCTGTCTCTACTAAAACGACAAACAAAAATCTAGGTGTGGTGGTGGGCATCTGTAATCCGAGCTATTTGGGAGGCTGAGGCAAGGAGAGTTGCTTGAACCTGGGAGATGGAGGTTGCAGTGAGCCAAGATTGTGCTACTGCACTCCAGCCTGGGTGACAGTGTGAGACTCCATCCCCACCCCCCCAAAAAAATTGTGTCATTTAAGATCTGTCATTTTTGGTTGCAAGCAAGATGTTTTACTTGGAAGATGAGAAGGGTGAAGGTGATGGGGAGAAAAATTTCTATCTCTGTTAGACTACCACAACTTGGGGGTGGGGGCAGAGAGTCTTTCCTCTCATTTTATGTAATTAAAAGAAAAAGAAGAACTTGAGTTACAACCTAATTCGTATTCTGAGCCCTATTCCCTGCTTTACTTTCATGCTAGGCTTTTTTAAAATTCATATCTCTAGATACTTATATTCTTTTTTGCTCCTGGATTCTGACTGTTCATTCAGTGACCAGACCTTTTTCTACTTTTACCACAACAGCACATATCCCACCCTTTTTTCTAAGTTGTCACTGCTGACACATGAGCCAGAAATCTCATCTTTCAGCAATCACTAGGCATGCTTCTTCTCCTCAAATCATCATTGTAGTACCTCTAGTTGTTTCTTCCCTCCACAGAAAGGAATAAGAAATAATTAAGACGTTACTGAAATTATAAGAGGATAGTTTATAAGAGGGTTGAAAAGAAAATCTCCTAAGTATACAGTTAATAATTTTGTATAAGTCATTTTGGGGAAAATATACACAAACTTGCATAAAAATTGTCTCTATTTGAAAATCAATTAAATAGCCTTTTTTTTTTCTGTTTGAGACTAAGTCTCACTCTGTTGCCCAAGCTGGAGTGCAGTGGCATAATCTTGGCCTCACTGCAAGCTCCAAGAGTTCAGGCCATTCCCTTGCCTCAGCTCCTCTGTAGCTGGGATTACAGGTGCCCACCACCATGCCTGGTTAATTTTTGTATTTTTAGTAGAAACAGTGTTTCACCATGTTGGTGCGGCTGGTCTTGAACTCCTGACTCAAGTGATCCACCCACCTCCGCCTCCCAAAGTGCTGGGATTACAGGTATGAGCCACTGCGCTGCCCTTAAAAAGCATTATTGAACTGTCTTTAACTATGTAATATGGGATGGCACAATAATTGTTAATTTAAGAATGTTCATAGCCAACCCTTCTCCCACATAAGGAAAGACCTTTATGATCAGAGATGTTTCTCCCCTGCTCCTTACTTCTAGAGAGAAAGAAATATCCACATGAGAAAAAAAGAATTATCTTTGTAATAAAGAGCTGAGATAGGCAATGAAAATGGAATAAAGAAAAGACAAGTGGGCTGTGAAGGAAGTATTATTTCTGGGGTGGGGAGCGGGGGAGCAGGAGACATGAGTTAGAGCAACTACAGCTACAAAGAAAATGGTCAGGAAAGAAACAGGTGTTAGTAAGGACAGCAACAGGCTGTTGAATTTCATTAATGCTGCTGAAGTGAAAAATCATGAGAGGAAAGAAGTTTATTTTTAATTGCTTCTGCTTTGGATCTATCTTTCATTAGTGGGATATACTCTGTGAATGAACCATGTGGCTGTCCAGTCTTTGAAAGTGTTACAAATGAACTTTTCTAAATTATATTAGGTATTGGTCGGGTGCTTTTGTTATTTTGTGCTCAAGAATAAGTGTTCATTTATGTAGAAATCCGAATGTCAAAATGCATTTTTCAAAAGGAATATTTTACTAGGCTCAAAAAGAAATAAACAAAAAGCGGAAGTACTTAGAAAACAACGGTGGTGTTCTCACTTTATAAGCAAGAACTACATAATGTGTACATATGGACGTAGAGAATGGAATGATAGACACCGGAGATTTCAAAGGATGAGGGGGTAGTGAGGGACTAGATGATGAAAAATTCCTTAATAGACACAATATATGTTATTCAGATGATGGATATTCTGAAAGCCCTGACTTGACCACTATGCACAGTCTATACATGTAACCCAATTGTACTAGCACTCCATAAATTTATACAAAAACTTTTGTGGCAAAAATTGTTTTCATTTGAGACCAAGAATATACATATATATATATGTATGTGTATATATATATACAGTATATATGTAGCTATGTACATTGTGTGCATATACATATATATATTTACAGTCTATATAAGTACACATACTGTAAATGTACACATACTGTAAATGAAGACAGCAACACTGTATGCAGGTCAGAAGGCTTGGTTAATGACACACTATGATTAAAGAAGCTAAGAAAGCCCAAAGGTTGTTGGGTTTTTTTTCAAATCACTTTGAACTTTCATTGTATAAGATTATGTAGCCACCATTTAACTTCTACCATAGAGAAGAGGATACACAGTCACTTTTAAATATTTTTATAATTTTACTAACATTTTTACATGGTCACTTTTTACATTTCTATATGAGAAAGATAAGTTAAATAGAAATCATACAAATCTCTGAGATACTAGTACACATATAAAATGATGATACTTTATTACATGTAATACTTTATACTTTTCAAATGCTTTCCTATTTTTTTCAGTTGATTTTCATTTTCAGTAAAATGCCTAGGGCTTTTTTTGGAAGAAAATCTCTAACTTTTCACTTTATTTTTTCCATTTTTTATGTTTCATTTTTTGTCTAGTCTTGGGGGAAGAATCAAATAAAGTACATTGGTGGAAATAATATTTTAAGTGACTAGAGTTTCATAAAAATTGCATCATTTTTATTAGCTCTGTTCAGGCCTGTGTGTTTTATTCAATTCTGATATGATGCCCACATCCTCCACAACAGATGATTAATCTTGCCCAAAAGACTTCTTAGGGACTAACCAATTCTGTAGTGACTGAGAATATGAAAATGCATCTAGATAATTAGAAACATTAAGTATACAACCCTCCCATCTGCAGTTAGAGGAACAAGGAGTCCATCAGTACACCGTAATCTGATTTCTATTAATGTAAAAATTACCAAGGAACACAAAATTCCGTTCTAAGCCAAGGTTATAAAAGCACATTAAAGCTGAATGAAGTGCTTATACCATTTCTAGTAAAAACATTTTCTTTAAAAAAAATCTTGGAGTTGTCATTTTTTTTAACTGTACAAAATAATAATATTCTTTGCAATTGGTGGGAATTTATGTAACTTTTAATTTTAATGAAAAGAGCATATTCTGTGCAGATGAGAACAAGGCTTGGGGAAATGAGCTATAAAATCTATATATAATAAGGTAAGAGTAGAAGCTGGAAGTTAAAATGCAGTGCTTTTAATTGACACAGGAGCCACTTTAGTCTGCCCTGTATTCACAGTGATGCTCCAACATACATCTTAGATAATAGGATAAATTTTGCACTCATTTCAGTTGATTTTGTAGTCTCCATTGTTATTTCACTGACACTATTATCCCAGGTTCAGAGTGAACACAAGAATTACAGTAGAAGAGATAGAAGTAACATAAATGGGAATGTATTTATGTAAATACAATTCTAATCATGATTTGGAGATCTGAGTATTAATTGGGAGCACTTTTCTAAAAAATAGAAACATTTTGATAAAGTAGAACACATGGCTATTTCTAAGATGGTCATTTTAACAAATTGCACAGTTCCTTAAATAAGTCACTTCTATCCAAGCTTAAGAGTTAAATTTGAAAGTGTTCCTTTAAGCTCTCTTTGAGTTAAGGACCACATTACTGTCATGTCTAAAATTATTTCTTGGTAGCTTATAAGGGACCTTGAAAAATGTCATATACCAATGATTCTCATCCCTGGTCGTACACCAGAGTTATTCATAAAGGTTTGGAGAATCTAGAGATCCAAGTTTCACTTGTGAAGACTCTGATTCAGGACCTCTGAAGTAGAGTCCAACCTTCAATATTTTAAAACACCTCAATAGGTTATTCTGAGGCACAGGTAGGACATTTAAATGGAAACAATTGAGTAGTTGGAATGGAAATATGTTTCCAGCCATAAACCTCAGAGCACCCGAACCAAAGTAATCCATAGTAAGATGTTTGTATTATCTCAGATGTTTTGTCTTACATGTTTCAAAAACACTTCCTAAATGCATGAATCAAGAATTTCCACTCTTTTGGACCAAAATATAATCAGCAATGAAACAAAACGAACAAAAAAGCATGACTATACTTGCTTTTGATTTGTAGGCAAAGACCATATGAAGTTATTTAGTCTTAGGAAAATGAAATCTACAATCACATCTTCATCTTAATAATAGTTAGTACCATGACTGAGAACTGTGCTAAATACTAGTCCAATATCATCTCATGTAACCCTCACCATAACCCTACAAATAACTGTTTTCATCTCTTTTGTATAGGTACATAAGACTTGGAGATTAAGGGTTAGCTTATGGCTACCTAGCAGTTAAGTAAGATAGCTTCTGATTTCCACTAAAGATGACTAATTGCAAAGGTCATAGTTAGGATTTCTTTTTGTTTATTTGTTTTACAATGTCACTTCTATGACTTTTCAGCTTTAATTATTATTTTATAGTGTTATGGTTAGTCTGAAACTGCCTTAGTATAAAATTAGTCTTGGACACTGTTGCTAAGTAAGAACTTAGATCT